GGGGGGGGGGGGGGGGGGGGGGGGGGGGGGGGGGGGGGGGGAATGGACCTTACATAGACTGGCCAGTCAGTTGCAGATTAACAGGCCTACATTAAACTGAGGCGCTGCGTACACATGAGCAAAGGCGGCGCTGGGTGCAGCAAAGAGCGAAGCCAGAGGCCCAGCGGGCAGCGACAACAAAAAGCACACATTTGCAAATAATAATTTGCATATGCTCTAACGTTTCTGTGCATGCGCATGTGTGCCTGTAAAGGACCCCGTCTCTTAAGAGCGCCTCTATTTGTAGAAAGATTTATGTGCAGGGGAGAGGCATGGATTAATCCAGGAGGATCAGATGCACGGTTCTCGGGGCCCCTGCGCCTTCTTTCAGTAAGCGCCAGCGGACAGCGGGGTGACAGGATGCACGTTTCTCAGAGATTCAGAGCTCCAAATGAAAGAGCCAGGATTCAGTCTTAACGGGTCATCTCTGAACAATGCCTCTGCTCACGAGGCAGGATGTGTTTATGTGCATATACAGGCATGGTCAGCATATGATCTGGGAGATCTCCGGGATATATGCCCACCTGTGGCTCTGCCTCAAGAGCTGGTTTTGCCTGGCATGCGCAGGCTGGCTGAGAGAATGAGCTCTAACACAAAAACCCAGCAAGGCAGGAGAAGAGATCCAGTCGAGCCTGCTGCCTGACCTCTAGCTTTCGTGGTTTCATTCTGTATGGAGGGGCACCCCATTTTTGTACCTGGGGGTTTTGGCGTGGAAGTAGCTTTGGCTGCCCGGTATGCTGACCTGTCCTGGGAGCGCATGTCCCCTCGGGCTCCTGGATGTCTTGGTGGATCCCGATACCAGAGACCGTGCAATCCTTCTGGGAGAGGTGGCGGAGTTCCACTCCTGCTTGGACGACTAGTTCCAGAAGGAGGCACTTGGGGGATACTGCTTGGCCCCCAGGGCTTTCCAGTATGGAGCTCCTCGGGGACTGTTCTCGTCCCACACAGTCCGAACAAAAAAGTGCTGAGTGGGGCCATCCCGGGTTTTGGGGTGGGTTGTCATCAGTACGCCGATGACAGGCGGCTCTTTTTCCCCTTTCCAGCTCCAGCACGGGAGGCTGTGGATGCGCTCAGCTGGCGCCTGGCTGCAGCAGTGGGTGGAGAGGGCGAACAACTGCAGCACAGTCCAGAGGAGACTGAGGTGCTGCGAGTGGGAGGATCTTTGGACTAGATGGAGGGAATTCGGTCTGTTCTGGATGGGGTCACACTCCCCTTGAAGGAGCAGGTGTGCACCTTGAGGCTCAGGTGGCCACAGTGGCGTGGAGTGGCAAGTGGAGAGTTTCTTCTAACTTCAGCTGGTGGCCCAGCTATACTCACATCTGGATATGGATAGCCTGGTTTTGGCAACCTATGCTATGGTGATCTAGATTATAGCAATGCCCTCCTTGTTGGGCTCTCTTGAAGCTTGTGGAAATGCAGCAGCCAGACTAATAACAGGGAACAGAAGGTCTGACTCCATTACGCCGATTCTGGTCTGCTTTCATGGGCTGCCTGAATGCTTCTGAGCATGGGTTTCCTTTTGGGGTTGCCTGTGGTTAACAATTATTATTATACCATCTATAGCAATCAGAGCTGTAATTATTATAGCAACTTATTGTTTTATTAATGTACTGTTGTTCTTACTGTATTTTACTGTAATCCTCCCAAAGAGCCCAGGGGAAGTATGTAAATGTTAAAAATAAATAATAAACAATCCATGACTCGTTGGTACGGCCAGGTTCAGACAACATGATAACCTATGTTTGAACAACTCATGCATTGCTGACAACCTATACCTAACTCTTGCGCATGGGTATTATATTGCCTGAATCCAATCACTGTGTTGCCTGAATCCAGTTGATTGGCTTGGTTAAGCATAGACAGAAGAGATGCTGCTTACATCAGGCCAGGT